GAACTAATTTTGATTAAATAATAGCATAATCAGACTAACGACTAAAATGCTTTCCTTATTTACGTATTATGTTTTATTTTAGAGAAATGCTTCAGTAGATGGTTATACAAATATTTATCATGTTCATTGTTCGTTAATAAATTGAAAATTAACAGTTAAATAATTAGTATGATTTTAACTACTTAACTTTAAACGTTAAATACTAGTATTGTGAAAATTATTATACTACATAAAATATCGAATCGAAACAATAACTATAAACATTCTGAATCCTCATTCATTACTACAAGTATATCATCAAAAATATACACATAAACTGTTACTTAAAATACAAAAAAGTAATTATATCGTTACCAAAATGATTTTAAGATGATACAAAACATATAAAGTGAAATCACAACTGTTGCCATTACTAATTCAATTAAGTTCTACTTGTATTAACATACAATTTTGCCAAGCGAGTCTTTTATATATAATTTTTGTGCCTGATAAATCTAAGAGTGATAAAAGCCAGGTATGATGTTTATTTTGACACATGCTGTGACTCGTAGTTGGCTCTCAATTCAAGAAAATTTTTTCGGAATTGAATTTTTATCCGCCTTAAGTTTTTTTCCAGTTTTGAATTTGGAAACTGATTTCATTAAGTGGTGTCTTTCTAATTCACTATAAAATAAATAATAGTAACTCCGCATTTCACAAATAAAAAGCTACCCTTATGGATGGCTGTCAATAGTTAAACGGTACTATTTCACTCTGTCAACTGTGCAAAGACCACTTAATTGTTATGTGTTCACAGCCATACTTCATTTAWTTATTTTATTTTCCAAGAAGATTTTCTTATTCAAGTGGTATATAATTATATAGATGAAGTATGAATACGTATGTATATGAACGATTCTCGAAAATTTAATTTTCTGCAGAAATAATGCAGATGTTCATAGCCCTGAACTCTGCATCTTCTCCAAAATGTTTTTTTTTTGTATATACTCATGTTTTCAATAAAACTGTACAAACTAACACAAATACTGAAGACATTCAATAAATATTTCACATATTCGTTAATGTTAAATATTCAAATAAGTCTATWTGTATGTATATCCTTAAATCACATTGGTCACACATGGAGGAGCACACAGAAATTTTCATTGCATCTGCACTATACCTTGAGTGTGTAAGCAAGGATTTATCTAGACGTTGAAGGCGTTCATTACTTATTATTGTATTGTATTGTATGTTACAAAACGAACTATAGCCGCATATAAAAAATAGTAAATAATAATGAAATGCCTACATAAATATATAAAATCTAAAAAAAAAAATGAAATTATCAAAAGAAATAGCTTATGACTATTACAATGGCATAAAACTGAAATTGATGATACCATTTCCAAATATTGACAAAATAAAAGTAATTTATGCAAAGTTCCGATTCTCCTGTTTCGTCTTATTCAAACAGAAAATTTGAACAACGAGCTTGACTTTTTAAAGAGTATAGGCATTACTTTACATTTCAGTAATCATTAAAAATTCGAATAGTAATAAAAATGACTTGAGTAGTAGGCCTGTCCACAAGTAAGTAAATACACAAATAAATGCATATGTGGTGGTTTTGGAGTATTAACTAAACTTTTATGTTTTTTGCTTCTATTTATTAAATTATTTATATTTGTATGTATTATATGTCTGTATAATATAGTTTATTTTGAATGCACTTTGAATTATTTGCAAACTTATAATTTTGTAATGTAAATTTGTACGCACCTTTTTAAACAAATGTATAATTTGATTGAATTTATTATTTCTTTGTTTTGAATTGGGTTTGTTTCTTTTATTTCTTTTATTTGGCATTTCATCTTCTCGAATGCACCCGCGCTCGTCCACACGCATACACAATGGCAACTGAACATCAACTTGTTTATCAAATTTAAATATGGCTACAGGTCTCGAGCATTCCACCGCCTATAGCATTCCCTCCACAATTAACATCTGCACTTGTGTCATATAACAGTACAAACAGCAAAAGCAGTAGCTCATTCGACATGCCCATAATTACAAAGATTACACCAGTCACCACCACTACATTCGCATCGGTATCAAGCTCATCACCATCTACGTCAGTGTCTACATTAACGGCAATCGCAAACAATTCCAACAACTCATCTACAATGTCCTCGTCTATAAATGATAACTTAACGCGTTCCATCACACCGCTGCAGCAGGCGTCCGCTGTAACGTCGTTGTTCGTGAATAAATCGAGCGAAACAATAGCAGATGCTTCCGTGGAGAATGTGCGAGAAAGCCGAGCMTCTATTATTAGTGGTCCGACAGATTTTTCAGATGATCCCTTCAAGGACTATCGTTATGAGGATCCCTTTAGTATTAAAGACCCATTCGCAGATGATGAAGATATAGATACGGATCCGGAAAAGATTTTCAAGGACGACTTCTCAGGTGATATATAAATTTGTTATATTTTTTGGACATAACAGTAATTTAGTTATTAACTTTTATTTAAATACAATATTTTACTTGCGTGTGAGTTTGCCTTGTGAGTTTGATGATTTTACGATTTCAAACATTTTTCTTTTAGGCGATGATAAGGCCAAGACTACATCTATTGGTTTTACGGCAAACAGCACCAATACTCAAGGATTTGTAGTTAGCAATAAATCTGCAACTCCGTTAAGCGCTGATTTTCTTGACCAGTTYGATGCATTCAATTTGAATCCTAGTCCTGTACCTTCACAACAGTCTTCAACATCGGGCGGCTTAACAGGTATAGGTTTTGGCAGTGGGGGTCAGAGTAGTATTAGTAGCTCAAGTAAGAAATCGGATAGTGTTACACCTATTCCACATGCATTGGGGGGCGGTGAAGCTAGTGGCGATGGTGGTGGTTTATTTGATGACTTTGCCAATTTTGATACATTTGGCGCTACGAAACCGAAAGCGACAGTTGCGCTGTCCACTGTGGGGGAACTGGAGTCTGCATTCAAAAGCAGCAACTTACAAGAGCCCAAACCCAAGACAAATGATTCTTTCTTCGACGCATTTAATGATAATTTTGATAACAATTCTAATCGTGATGTGAAGACAAGTACTCTAACTGGCAAGTTAAACACGAACATTTTCGATCCYTTTGGTGATAGCAAGACAAATTCAGATGCATTTGATGCCTTTAGCACTTCCAAGCGTAGTGATTCAGCCTTTGTAGATCCTAAAGGAAATTCGGCCATTACTAAATCATCTAAAGTGTTTGATGACTTCAATGACAATACATTCGAAGATGATTTTTTTAAGATAAAAGACAATAAGGCAAATGCCAACTTTGATGTCAAGGTGACAACTACGCTGGTAAATAATGCTAATACTAAAGACGATAGTTTCGGAAAATTCGATGACCTCAACAACAGTCTTAATTTTACAAACGATTTTGATACTTCTTTAAACAACTCAAAAAATTTAACAGATAATGAAGAGATACAATCTTTTTCGGCGTTTCCTAAACATACATTAGGAGCTACCTCATTAACGAAAGTACAAAATTTCACAACTCTAAGTAAAGTGTCAAATCCAGATGTAGCCCTTGCTGTGGTTGGCGCAGCTGGGGAAAATGGCGACAAAGTTGCAGAGAAATTCGCTGCCGACTACTCCAAAGCAGATACATTCGAGATGGATTTGCAGGAGGCACTTAAACGCAGTATGCTGGAAAATTAAGAATTGATATTAAATCTCCACATACCACTTTGTATAATTATTATTAATTTCGATGTATTTATAACTATATATATTCCGCTGTTATAAATATATTGTAAAAGTAGTAATATAGTTCGCCATAATAAAATGGAAATTAGACATAACTAGGAATATGGGCATTGCCCGTTCAACGATTCACTCATTGSTGATAAAAAAAAACCTTATTTATATGTCATTTATGATCGGTTTTGCTCAGATTTTGTACTCATACTTTTATTTACATCATGAATAATTATTTTATACTTAAAAATACCTCTTAAACCACCTTATTTTGCATAGAATTGTATTTGTGTTGCTAATCATATGACTAGTTTTGTAAAATTTGTCTTTGGAAAATATTTTTTATGCGTATAAAAATTGTAATTCGGATTTTTGGATCTATGCAGCATTTGTTTTCACACYACGCACATCACATTATATTTGTACAATCCTAAATATTTGCAAAAAATAAGGAAGCAATGTGATACAAATAGTTTATAGATTTAAAAATTCATTTCTTACAATCTTTAATACGCATAATTTGATTACCAACCAAAAATTATCTGAAAATTCCATMCTTTAAATTTTGTATTATTTACTTTATAAATTATTTTTGTTTAGCTATACGAAAAACTTATCATTTACATGAATATTTATAATAAAATGCGAAGCATGATTATACATACTGACACCAGATGTTTAAAATTTATGATAATAATACCTTTCACAGGTTGTTTGCCTATATCATAAAAGGGTATTAGTTTGTATKGCAGCTATATTCTATAGTAGTTYGATCTGAACAATTTTTTTCGGTATTAATCGTTGCCTTGGACAATAATCCATGCTAAATATCGTGGAGATATAAAAAGTTGTGCATACAAGGACATGTACTTGATCACGTATATGATTAAATATTTAATAATTTCAAAAAATTTAAACCGGAACTAAAACAAGGGTATTCAAAATTGGCGTCAATAGTTTGAACCTGTTTTTTTTATTCAGATCAGCTGATTTGCTAACAAATAATTTTTTTTTAAAGGGTGACACTATTATTTTAAAAATTGCGATTCTCAAACTCATGATTTTATTTGAATAAAGCAATAAAAAATTATTTTTACCATTGCAAAAAATATAAAACCATTATTATTTAGTAAAATTATGGACCTAAATCAACGGWTACATTGCTATCCAATCTCGTAGTTTACAGATATCGCAGTCACCCTGTTGCCAGCGTAATCACAAAAATGTTGGAAACTCTATTGCCGATACCCAGCTGAAAATTTTGCAAATCGTCAACATTTTAATTTTAGCAAAATTGTGAAATTATTTTTTAAAATATTGCCAATAAACGCGAAAACACATACTGCCGAAAATWAGATTTGTTGCGAAACCATACAGTGTGTTTTTCAGAGGTGTCGGGGAAGGTTTTGTACTATTGGATTTGTCTGCAACTTGTCTGAATACAATAAAAAGGAATTGGACATGGCGACAGCCAAAATATCAGCATTTACATCTAAAAACTATGAATATGATTGTACTCGTAAATGTCGTCATGTTGAGCATGGAAATAAAATAACTGCAGCATTGACCAAACGTTCAATTGACGATGAGCACCTTGGAGCATACATTGCAAAAACTTGCGCAAACTACATGGATATAGTGGATGATTTGGTAATTCCAAATATTAAGTTAAGGATATTTTATTTTACTGATGGTAAATTAATCTTCTAGGGACGMTCTGCAGTGCACTTGGCTGCATCCGTTAATCGTTATGCTATACTCGAGTGGTTGCTTAATCATGTATGTTTGATATTTTTTTTGATATATGTTTGTGCCGAAAGTATATTTTGAATATTAAGGGGGCCATTATAAATAGTCGTGATTTTGAATCTGGAAGTAGTGCACTACATCGTGCGATCTATTACGGCTGCATTGATTGTGCCGTTCTTCTGTTGCGCTATGGTGCTAGTCTAGAGCTTTTGGATGATGATACTCGTTGTGCTTTACAAAACGTTTGTCGGCCCCGTGATTTTCCTATATTTGCATCGGTGTAAGTATTAACATATGAATATATGTGTTGCTTTTGAAACTTACAGATATTAAAAKTTTTGTATATTTTTCCATTTCAGCCAAAGTAGTAACGAAATTTTAGTTTGGGGTACAAACAAAAATTATAATTTGGGAACAGGAAATTCTGAATCCACCAATACCCCACAGTCGGTTGACTTCTTTCGTAAGGAACACATATCAATTGATAATGTTGCTCTCGGTGCTTATCACAGTTTATTTTTGGATAAAAAAGGAATACTTTATTCGGTGGGTCATGGAGAGGGCGGACGTTTAGGTGCATGTCTATTCTGGTATATGTGAGTTTTTATTTTAATTAAAAATTGCTTTATACCAACACAGGAGTTGGAGGTGAGCATAGCCTAGCTACCCCTAAAAAGGTGAAGATTCCAAAAAAGAGTTATGGGGAACATATAATATGCATAAGCGCATCTCGAAAGCATTCATTATTGCTAACAGATAATTCTGCCGTATTTGCTTGTGGCTTAAACGAGGATAAACAATTGGGAGTTCGTGATGCAGGCGATAAATTAGCAGTTTTTCGAGAAGTAGTAACATTACGCGATCTAAATGTATCTGGTCTGTTGCGTGTAATTGCCAGAGATTTTCACTCAATCGCATACTCAGAACAATGTATTTATACATGGGGCACAAATCACGGCCAAATGGGTATTGACACTGATGTGAAAACTGTACCCTTACCAAAACAAGTAAATACCAATAATTTAAAGCTAAAGTTTTTAATCATATTTTAATTATTTTCAGATGAAATTACCATCAAAAACTAATATTGATTTTGTTGAAGCGAATAACTCAGCAACTGTAGTTTATACTAAGGATACGAATATTTTATTATATTTCAAATGCAAAATGCGTACAATTAAGCCGCCGAAGTAAGATTTTTTAGATATTTTTATATACATTAGGCTTTAACAATCTCTTCTTAATTTTTTTTGTAGTTTCGAAGCCTTGAAAAGTATTTCCGTTGTTGGTGGCGACGTTGTTAAGTCTGGTAAAGGTACTGCCACAGCTTTGAAACTGCTTATGCTTACGCAAACAAATGTTATTTTTCTTTGGTATGAAATTACTCAGCAATTTTACAGGTTTGTACAAATATACTTAAAAAGAAAAAAAAAAAAAAAAAAAAATTCAGTACAACACACTGTAACGCCCTTATTATTTGTGAATACCATCTAGATGTAGTTTTTCGCAACTACGAATCTCGCAAATCGACAAAATCTTTTACAAAGCTAACCAAGTGTTCATACTATCGCAAGGTGATGTATATAAAGGCAAATGTCAGCAGGTGCCAATACCGACTTACATGACCAGAACCGATACTCAAAAGCATCCCTCATCAACAGGCAATATATGGAGCAGCTGTGATCAGAATCGAACAGAAATCTGTAAAGAGCACATGATACGCATTGAGCTGCAGCGCTATCCAAGTGTTGATCGAGCCGTCGATATATTCTGTGATGATGATTTCACGTCGTTTGCTGTTTTACAGGAATCACATTTAAAATATTTCAAATTACCCAATTTAAGACATGAAGAATACAATTTCAAGAAATTGTACAATGAAGTGGATGAATTCGATGCTGTGCATGACGTAGTGTTTCATGTGGATAGTGAAACGTATGCTGCTCACAAATTTATTTTGTACGCTCGTGCGCCTGGCTTGCGTGACATACTCCAGTCTTATGAAGATGAACATATCTACTTAAATTTCAAACTAATGACTGGCAAGATGTTCGAATTGATGCTAAAACATATCTACACAAATCAATTTCCAAATGAAGATGGTGAGATAATATGCTATATTTTGCTTTTACTTCAATAACGGCATCATTTTAATGTTTTTAACTGTTGTCGTTCTCTTACCGTAGACCTAGACAATATTCAACACAGCTTAGGTCCGGACTGTCCAACTGAACGTATCGATATTTGCAAGTTGTTTTTGCAATTCGTTGAGAAATTCAAAATACAAAGTTTGGCAAATTTTTTGCAAAGGTTCTTTGTTAATCACATAATTTGGTCCAAAATAATAAAACATGTTTTTTTTTTACAGTTTTACACAGAAGTCTCCATTCTATTTACCGCAAATAGCGGATAAATCAAAATATCGTTTCAATCGCCTTTACCATGGTGATTTTCCAGAACTTTATGATGTGCGCATCATTTGCGGCGGCGACGTTGTCCTACCAGCGCACAAATGCATTCTAGTTGCCCGCCTTGAATACTTCAACATGATGTTCACACACACATGGGCTGAGCAAAGCACAGTCAATTTGAGCACTATACCACCGGAGTACATGCGCCCTATTATAGAGTTCTTGTACAGCTCGGACGTGGAGAACTTTCGCAAGCAGAACTTCTCCGAAACATTTTTGTTCAATATGRTTGTATACTGTGATCAATTCTTTATTGAAAGTTTGCGTAAGGTGTGCGAGACGTTAATATTGGACAAGATAACCATACGAAAATGTGGAGAATTTTTGGATTTTGCGTGCATGTATAATTGTGACATTTTGAAGGAGGGCTGTTTGGAGTTCATTTGCCAGAATTTAGCACGAGTATTGAACTATAAAAGTTTGGATGTGTGTGAACCCGATGCGCTTAGGTATATAAATGAACATTATCGGAAAATGTTTAAGGATGTATTTGACTATCGTATGATAACGCCAGATTCGGATGCGGCGGATGATGAATTGTTATTGAGTTTTGTGGACGATTTTCGAATCGATCTAACATATCGTATGGATGAAGACGWTGTGAGTATTGTATTATAAAAACGAAGAAGCTTCTTAAGTTCTCAAGAAAAGCTACAACTTAATTTATAAGTKACACATAACAGAATAAATCATTTATTAAGTTACTATTTATATTATTTAGGAAGCTTTAAATAAGTCGGGCAAACAAAAGTCGAAGGAAAGCAAAAATAACATGAATGCCAAGCGTCAATATGAACTTGAAGCCATATCCTCCATGCTGGAGACAATAAATGTGAATGAAAAAAATATGAAAGAAGCGCAAGAGAYCCAATCCAAGGTGACCAAAGAAGCTTCAGAGATGGCGGAAAAACTACAAGCCGAAGCACGAACATGGATGAAGGTGGCTGATAAGAAGGATCAAAAGAAACGTCAACCAGTCGAGCATTCACCTAAACTTAATGAGATTTTGAAAGCGGAAGAGACACCAAAACTTGAATACGTTTCTGTAACAAAAATTAATGGTGAGAGTGCTGCCGCAAAAACTCCTGAAAAGTCTTTAAGCGAGGACCTGCCTACAATGACACCTAATAAGGGGTACAGCTTAAATYTGGCTGACTTTACAACACCACCGTCACGTGAAAAGCTCTCGCAGAAACAACGCAAGCGACTCTCTTCGGAATCAACGACTTCTTGGCGAACGTCGGCAACGTCGGCAACGCCGGAAAGCAAACCAGTTAAYGTACCAGTAACACCGCYAAATGCTTGGGGTGTAGTCGCACAGGCTTCCCCAAGCGCATACTCACTTTCCCCGCCCACAGGCAGTATTGCCGATCCGAGCTCGTTTGCGAATATGATGCGAGGCAATCCGAGTAATGCTGACAATAGTTTTTCACGAATTGTAGCCGATGAACGAAAGCAACGCGATTACTATGAACGCATGCGCAACAAGTCGCTGGTACTGACGCAAATAGAAGAACAGGCAATAGCTGAGTTACGCGAGTTTTACAATGTTGATAATGTAACGGATGAGGAAATAACAATCGAAAGAAAGTCACTGCCTTCAACCATGAATTTTGCCGTCTGGCAACGCCATTAAACAGGCAAAGGAACATAGAAATTTGCCGAAGAATGCCGCAAACATTTACATATACATAATTATATATGTATATATGTATGTATATATTTATATTGGTTAGTAGAATTTTTATTAGCTTTGCTATTGAAGCTATACATATCTTTAGTTTTATTTAATTTAAATGAGTTTTATATTTACATAATTTATAAATATTTCATCAAAGGTTTTTAAGTTAAATATTTTTAAGCATACATCAAATTCTTAAACAGACAACAATGTACCGTTATGAGGCATTTAAGGCTAAGCTTTACAATAAAGTTTATTTTAAAACCAAACCCAGCTTAGTTGTTAATAAAACAACAAAAAAGTTTAAAACATAATAAGAAAACATAATAATAATACAATAAAAAAATATATGTTTGACTTATAAATTAAAAACATTCTTTGCGGAATGCAAAGCCGTACTGATCGCATTTGTAGCGCAGTGTTTTGCCTAATTGTGGTGGACCACAGTAGAATACCGTTACCTTGCCCTTCTTCTGCGCTTGCAGCTGTTTAAAAACTTTATCCCAGTTTGGACGACCGGCATTCGTGCGCGTCTTCAGGCCAGTAATGAGATCTCGCTTGCCCTGAAACCAAGCAAATTCAATGATTAGAGCCGCGAAGTTAAAGACAATAAAAACGTTAGCTTCGTCTTCACCGAAGCTATAATATYCTTTACGTCTGCATTTTTTASAGCAGGGAAGGGTATAAAAAGGATTTTATTTTGATTTTGGTTACTGAGTTTGTATGACAGCTATAAGCTGTTCGACCTGAACAATTTGTTCGAAGTTTGTAGCGCTGCCTGGAACAATAGTTTCGTAAAAATACCTTATCTAAGAAACAAGTATTCCTAAAATTTCATCGAGCCGTTTGTATGGTAGCTAATTGCTATAKTGACCCTATATATACAATTTATTCGGATATTGTAACRTTGCCTTGCGTAATAATCTATGCCAAATTTCGTGATGAYACCTTATCGATTAAAAAAGTTGTCCATATAAGGACTTGAGTTTGATGGATCAGTTACATCGTATAGTAGTCGGATATCGGCGGTTCCGACAAATGAGCAGTTTCTTGAGGAGAAAAAGTCATGTACCTATTTTCAGATCGCTATCGCAAAAACTGCGCTACTACATCTCGTATATACAGACCGACAGACGGATAAGGCTCATTATAATTTTTATATACATTTTATAGGGTCTCTGATGTTTCTTTCTGGTAATATATCGTATTCAGCGTATAAWAAGTAGTAAGCAAAGATATTCAAATAATCACAAACCTTTTCATGTAGTAAATCTAAAGCCAATTGCAGTCCCACTGCCTTCATATCGGTGCGCTGTAGRGCACTGGTTATGTACATATGCATATCTAGGAACCTCTCCATTGGTCCACCCAGCTCAGCCTGTTCGATTTCCAGCTGTGACAATAAATTTACAAACCACTCGAATGAGCGCTGATCGCGGTTGATCCAAAAGAAGTCCACCTTACGCAAATTCATCACCGTTTTCGGTATATCACTTGCCCACTCAAATTGACAACGCGGACAGGTRTGCCGAGCCTTCCAGTAGCGATGCATTATGGATTGCAAAATAGATGCGAATGGCGTGACACCGATTCCAGTGCCGATGAGCACAGCGTGTTGAGCGCCGAATATATGACTGGACGGCGCCCCATATGGRCCATCGATGAAGATCTTTATACAAGAAGAAAATGTTGTAAGCTATTAATAACTGCCGTAGGCATAAATATATGCGTGAAGCATATTTGTAAACGTGTGTTGAAATCCCAAACCTCTAATACGCCAGCGTCTAGTGTAACCTTGCTACCCGAGTTATGGTTGCCCTGTGGTGGTAGACTGCCATTGCTACCGCGATTTTTGATGGATGTCGAGAGGGAACGCAAAAAGGTCGGTCTGCGAAAACGACCAACTTTAGTTCGCGCTGTTGGATCCTTAGGGTGGGAATTCGAGACATGRTTTTGCTTTAGTGTATTATAGCCAATTAGAAATTTAGAGTGTATGCTTTATAAACGTATTAATTTGAATGGAATGATATCGAAAATACCATAATTCTAAGCTTAGTAKGTATATCTAGTAGTGTTATGTATGTATATTGCAGTCATTGAATTTTAGTAAGTACTACAAAAGAGTTGATAAAAATCTGCCGCATTGAGATACATATATTAATCCGTAAAACATATATTATTATATATGCAAGTAAGTATATTTTTGTTAAATATGTATAATTTAATAATTTAATATACTTACTTCTAACGGTTTCGACACGCTGGCTTCGGATATTTCAATTGTCGTGCTGTCGGTCTTGCCAACTCCATTTCCTGAGGTAAAGTTAAAAGTTAAAAAAAAATACGCATTTATGAATGAYTTTGAAAAGTTAGTAAAATGAAACGCAAGATTTTTCGGGATCCAAAAATTTTACTTGAATCTAAGTATCATTTTTCGGGATCAAAATAGTACAATAATCACCTTTTCCTTCTTCTAGCTCCCTGTATGTATCCATGTTGCCTGTAATGTATTGAAATGATCACAGTTATTACATACTATACTAGAGACCTGTATGGTTGGGGCCTTACCTCTCGGTGTTGCCGTAAAATCTTGTTCAGCTTCCTCGAGGCTTGGTGTTTTAAAGGCAATTATTGTCGGCTTATTGCGCATGTAACGAAAACTCTGTGCTAGCGATTTGTTTTGAGGGTTTAAGTAGGCTAAACCTCCGCTCTGAAGTCGCGCACGCCTGACACGTGACTCATCGAAAGACCTCTCAGATTCCGAACGACCGAGCGCTCGTAAACTTGAATARTATGAAAGGGAAAACATTTACTTAATCTGTATTTTCAATTGCATATATAGTACATTATTTCATCTTCATTTGATACCGTTATTATCTTATTGTAACACTTACGCTTTGAGGCGTTCCTTCTTTTTAGACTTGATGGCCATATCTGGTAGTGAGAGACTCTTTTCGAGCTGTGGTTTACGAGAGTTTAACTTTTGTAAGCGTTTGTCCAATGGCTTTTGGACGGAATCCACTTGATCGCCTACAAAACCTTCATTCCAGTGACCATCGATCTCTGTTCTCGCAGGCACATCTTTGCGAGAGAAGGTACGTTGGAGCGTCTTCTTAATGCTGCGTATACGATCTGCGTGTTTCGTAGATGCAATATCGTTCTCATTGCGAGTATTTGTATTGTCAATGGCCAATTTTGAAGGTTGTTGTATGTGTCGCGCGGGTTTGAGGGGCACATTTTGCATTTGATTTGCGCCTTTACTTGGTAGTAGTACTGAATCATTTGCACTGGTTTTGCCATGTAAGCGTGCTAGATTTTGAGCAAGGAAATCGATTTGTGGCGTTGCGGATGTTTTAGATTCAGTTTTGTTGGTAATACACACCAAGTCGGTGGGAATCGCATGTCGGTGCTGTATGATTTCGCCATTTTGGAGTTTCTGCTGTTCTTTCTCGAAATACTGGTACAATCGATTGGTCCATTCGCCTACAGTGCGTATATGCAGCCACATGTAATCCTCCTGCTCCGGTGCTGAACTTATTGTGAAGGGATGCCATTCATAGTTGGCAATAACCGGTATATTAACAAAGACATAATCACCAGGACGGAAATTGAAGTTAAATGGACGTTTAATGACCAAATGTATAACTTTGGATGGTAAAAGTAAACCGGAACTGATGTAGGTTTTTCCATGTTCGCTTTTCATCCAGACAAAKCGCAATATACGCTCCACTATGTACACCAGCCCTGGCACCAAAAACCACTTCCAGAAATTCGGACCATGAAACAGTAGTAGAATCCAAAATGGAATATACAATAGATGCGTCCAATAAAAGACCTCGAAGGAACCCTTGCGGCGTACAAATGGCTGTGAGCAAATGAACATTATTAATAGGATAATTAGTAGCGCCAAACCAGTAGGGTTGGCACAGCCCGGTATGAGACCGAACAGCCCTGGGCGATCGGTTAGCAGCCATTCGCCGATTGTGTAGTGGCCAGCATTGATTTTAGGATCGTTCACCACAATTATGGAGAAATTGAAAAGATGTGCGATGGTATGAAGCAGACTCAGGATTGACACCACAATACCCGTTAGTTTGTGAAGATAGATGTGGTTATCCAGTGGCAGGTACGAAGAAAGCCCCTGTGAACGCAGATATGTAAGAGAATGTCGCAACATTAGCACTAATATCCAGGCGCAATTGAAATTCAGACATTGTCCTGCGGGAGTAGAAATCAMAATTAGTTGAATTTTTGGATATTATATGTACATCAACTTAAGAATCTTAACTAACCACATGCGCGCGCAACAATCACAAATCCATTGCTCGCTCGATATTGAATGGCTCGTGAGATGAAAAGGCACAAATTTATGGCAATGTAGATATATAGATACGAAACGAAAGCTTGGTTATTTTTCATGTAGGCCAAAGTGAGTTGATGTGGCTTGTCAAAGCGCAGTCGCGGACATTTGGACTTCGGCTTAGGAGTCTCTTGCGTCATGGGCACAAGCCAACGATCTATGCTGTGCGTCAATAGAATTCCGTTATATACAAAAATATTAAAAGTTAAGATAATACTTACGTAATACTGAGGTTTTCTAATAATCCGCCATGTTTGCAAATTTGATTTTTTAAGGCCTCATAAGTGATTTCACCACGATTATAGGGATCCGCATCTTCAAACATGGCTGTTGTCAGATCTTCAATCTAAATGGGTGTTACTAAGTTAAGTCATTTAAAACTGCTTAAAAACCTTACTTGTTCATCGGAGAATTCCATGCCATTTTCCTCCATGCAGGCGCGTATCACATCATGCAGTTCCTTATGCTGTATCAGACCGTCGCCTGAGGACATTATAAACATATTTGAAAGAAATATGTCATGTAAATCAAGAATTCATTTGACCACACCCATGAACAAATACCGTCCTATACTCTTAAAAGTTATAACCCTGGTTAGAAAAAACCCTCGTTATGGTTATTATGTGATCTTAAAAAAACAGTCTGCTTTCGTAACAATGTTTGTTCAAAATTCTAGTCAAAAKATTATTGCACGTTAACATTACTTCAACTTATTT